TGCTGCAGAAACTATGGAGTAGATTTTCTGATGGGACTCCCCTTTCGGTTCATTCAGGTGATCAATTTTTGGGATTAGATCGAATGCTCGTTTTGTTCTGGCTCCCTATTTTACTTAGTGAGTTGCGGTTCTTCATACGCTTGTCGAGTTTTGCTGTGGTTCAATCGCTGACGAATGATCCGTTTCCTTTTTTTCAGTCGTCTTAGGATATGGTTTATATCAAGGCGTCCCGGTGGTATTGACCACGGTGTACGACGTTGCTGCTTGGGTGCTGCCCGAACAACGCATCGCTGCTCTCGCGTGAACACTTATTCCTAGTTTTCGTTTTCTCTTTGCTTAAATGCATCGACTGTTTAAGTGCCTTGTGGTTTTTTTTTTGTGGTTCCCCCGGTGTTAATTTCCGATATCTGTTTTTCTTATTTGCTTGTGCGGTGGGCGATGTATCGCCCCATATGTCATGTGTCTGGTAGAGTAGAATGGACGCCACAAAAAAATACATATCAACAGCGAGACTCAAAAACGATTGCCTAGGAGAACGTGGACAGGGGTGATGTAGATATAGACGGCGGGAGATCCGCATCTGCAGTGCCCCAGCTCGAAGGCGTCGACCCGAGAGTGAGCTGCAGCACACCCCCATTTGCGAACAGCTCGCGGTGCGCGAACCAAGCCCGGGTGAACGGCGCGCCGTTCAGTGTCGCAGACACGACGTACTTGTTCGTGATTGCGCCGTCAAAGTTGACGGTGGTGATCGTCGCTGTCTTGTTCTTGGATGGGTCGTCTGTCGGGTAGGTGATCGTCCGGAATAGAGGGATTGAGATCAAATAAATCCCGGTGCCTGAATTTTTTTTTTTTTTTTCGAATGGGAAGGGGGAAAAAAGGAGGAAAGCGGAGTGAGTGAGCGGGTACTGCTCAGGGGATTCCGAACTGGTTGAGTCATAAAATGTTATTCTTACCTGCTTGCGGATAAAATCCAAACGTCGCGAAGACGACGAAACCACCCATAGCGCCGGCCTGATGGGAAACAACCCCTATACCATGTGAGCCACCCCCCATGTACGTCTTCGAATGGACCAACAAACAAAAACTCACGTCATCATTACCAGGCAACCCAGCCACACTGGTATTGTAGTGATCCTTATCGAGACAATAAGAACCTTTGTCAGCCAACCACCATCCTACACATTGATCAATGGAAAAAGGATCATGATGATACATACACGAAGCAACCCGAGTACTCGGTCGACAGTCTTGTCTGGACGGCCTGCATAGTTGTAAAGGAATGGTGGCAGGAAGCCAGGCTTTCACAGAATGGCGAATCTCAGGATAGGTCGTTTTCGATAAGATGGAGAGGTGCAACACTCTGCTCACCTCATCGCCAGGATCATGAAAGCCGTTTGCGAAAAAGGCGTCCAATCGCTGGATGAACGTAGTCTTTCCGCCCATCAGTTTCACAATGGTGGCCATGTCCTGGGGCGCTATTAGGTGATTGAGAATGATTAGTTGAATATGCGCCCGTGACTAAGGACGCCGAAAATCCGCGAACCGAAGAAGCTGTACGCCCAACTTGAAGCTAGGACCATAGCAATGCGTTAAAAATGCCATTTACAGGCAACTCAACTGTATAGGATTTGCGCACCTTCATAAAATTCACCACCTCCCGGGCCCAGAAAGCAGCTAAAAGGGTTAAGGACTGGACTGCAATGCCTCCTAGAGATATATTCGATAAACTGAGGCAAATGGGGATATATAGACTAAACTCAACGGATCGACATTGTCCCAAGCACCATTGATGTATCGTGGCTGGATGAAGCCAGAGTAGCCCGAGTTGGTAGTGTTGGGGTTCCACAAGTACTGCCAGTCCCCGGAGGCTTTCTGATACTGAGCAGCGATCTCTGTATGCCCGAGTCCGTTGGCCACGAGAGCGATCCCAAAGTCGTTGAAGGCATATTCCAGCGTTCGCGAGGCGCTCCTACATGCTCTGAGTGAGCACAGTACAGTGTAGATAATATGAGACTAGTGCACACCTTGCTGGGGCTTGTCCTCCCGGAGTATCATCATCGACCGGTACGTAGTGCAGTGTCTTTCGTCTCTCAATCCCGCCGCGCCCTTCAAATATCCAGTCCGGAGGTGTCACAGTCGCATCCTTGATCATTGCGGCCAAACCATCTTCCCAATTGATCCCCGCTGTTATTCCTTTGAGATAGGAGTCCGACAGCAAGTTGTCTGCATTCGATCCCTAGCCGAGGGAATCAGTGATGCAAACGTACATAAAATATCGAGAAGGGAAACATACTCCTTGTGTGTACCCTTTATCCAAGGACATTCGGCAATCTGGTAAAAATCCCTCGTGACGATATATATCAATCAGCGCTCGCACTATCTCTGCCTGAGTGCTACGTTGAGTGATCGCATACAGCGGATGGACCTGGGGAATAAATTTAAAGATACTTAGGTGGATTCTGCACAGGCCCCGCACATGATGTGACTTACCACACGGAAAGAATCCCCTGCAAAAATCAAAATGCGTTAACTAACCAAACAAAACCGCAACTGGATGATATGAGCCTACAGATGCAATAGAAGCTGTCGTAGTACGGCTCGGTCGATTGCCACAATGGGTTGTCGCCAGTAATATTCATGGGAGAGAGGTAAGAGCGGTATAAAGAGGAGTAGAAAAGAGTGGCAAAGTCATTAGATATGCCCGATAGTATCAATTGAAATGGTTCCAAGAGTTTGATCCCATTTCTTGGTGGCGGCTGTCTGGGTCACAGCAAAACTAGAAGGGTCGATCCCTGGAATCTCAGCCTGCGCATACGAACACGCGCGGTCCGCAGAGGACCAGGATACTCCGACCCGAGCGAAGGCCACATTGCCTGATGAGTGAAGACTGGAAGAGGCTATATGATGCTAGAATACCAGCTTCCTGGCCAGAACTAACAGTTATAGTCTGAGAACCGCTCAGGGGGTGAATACACCGCCGATGTAATACCCCATTGCTGAGACATTGGGAATGTCAATGCATGAGTAAACCTACCAGGCCAAGTGTGAGATTCATCCAGAGAGACAGAGAGAGGTATTAGAAACCACTCACCTTATAACTTCCGAGTCCGAAGCTGGGTCTGATACTGTCCAGCAGCACGGAGGCGGAGGGAACCAGGGGCTTGAGTGTAAGTGATGTCCAGAACGCCTTGGCCTTGAAATGAGTGTTGGAGGTCATTGGTGAGGTCAAATAGAAGCACCGCAGAGCTGACAGAGTCGTTCAGGTACTGTGATTTAGAGTCAGTCGGAGTTATCGAGAAGGAATATAATTGGCCTTACAGCGGAGAATGTGAAACGATGGAGTGCCGCATGTTCTGTGACAGTGACTTCGGTCTAATTGCCAAGTAGGCAAGTAAGTTCGAAAGCCACACCAGGTTTCTGCGGCAAAACACGTACCTTGATGCCCCCTGCGAGAGAAATACTAAAATAACCAGGGCTACCGACCGCTGACCGCTGCACTTGGGCGGCAGAACGCGAGGATTCCGTAGTCTTGCACGCGCCTAGAGAGGTGCAATACATGGGAAGTACTTTGAATTGACCCAGACTAGGACTTCCCCCGGTCCCTATAGATAAAACAGGGCATGAAGTGCCACGAGAATGCGGGGTAGTGGGAACGGACATACCATCGTCATGAAGGACGGAGATCCCACGAATGGGAGAGCCATCTGACACATACCCAGCTTGATTGTCTGCCGAATTGCAATCTGCCACAGCTTTGACCGAGCCAAAGGGTAGTGAGGCGCCTGAGGCGCGCCAAACGTCAGAAACCCGTCGAGAGAAGAGATATACTCTAGAACAGCGGCATTACCAGCGAAGACATGTCCGCCATTACTTGTTCCAATGAAATTGTTCACTTTTGCAGTGGTATATGAGGCTCTTAGGACTGCGACGGTTATAGGGACGATGCATACCATATGACGAGGGCGAGACGGCCAATACAGGAAGCGTGAACGGAAAAGACACAAGCAGCGTCAGATATGAATAAAGAGCGTGAACACCCATCATTACACGTCAGACTGTAAAGAACGAGGTAGTCTCTTCCGAAGATATAGGCAAACGAGGGGAGCGGGTGTGTCAGAGGACAGGGCTCACTACCCCATCATTTTTGGAACAATTCTGATTCCCATGTCCGGGTACTGTATGCCGCGACTCGAAGTCGCAAAAAACATAGCGTCTATCACACCACTTTTTGCTTACAGCTCAATGACTTCTGCTGTTTATTGACCTCTCTTTCATACCGCGGTAAAAAAAAAATCCATCATCTGTTGTAGTTGGTGAGACAATTTGTGCGACTTGACTCGACTTGACTCAATTCAATTGAGCACGTCGCGGCAACACTACCGTGCCGAGAAAGCAAGTAGCATCTTTCTTTCTTGTTTAGAAGCCATCATAGATGCTGCACTCAGGCAATGGACTCCAACAAAATTATGAACGACCTCACCAACCCTGTCATGGCGTGAGGAATGCTGCCATATCTGCACAGACGACACTGCCGAACATCCGTCAGCGGGCTGTCATGAGACCCTCTCCGGCTTTCTCAACAGATAGCCCTGGCTGGCACTGGCGGCGAGGTTGGCAGGCTTAAATACTCGTTACTGGTGACCTGATCCTTTGCCATTGCCAAAACTGACACCATGCGTAAGTGCGCATGATGCATAATGAGTACAGTAGCTCAATTGCAGATAATTCAGGAAGAATTCCAAGCTACACCTCACAAAGGGTGGTCAGAATACCGGGGTGTCTTAGCCATAAGAAAAGGATGGTTTAGCTAAGATTAATAAAGGGCACTTTTATCTATAAATATTCAGTCGTGAGTCGACGTGGAACTCGACTAGGACCTGCGTCATGAGACACCTTCATGAACTTATGAGGAGCATAATGCGCGCCTTCATCAGTTTGTGGAAGGAGTTGGGTGTTCTCTCTGTCGAGGAACCATGCTACGAGGAAATGGAGCAAAAGATCGACACCTGTGCGATTCGAACACACGCGAGCAAAGCTCATACCCTTAGCAGGGGTACCCGTTAACCACTCCGGCAAAGTGTCACACGCTAGCTATCTCCAATCCCGTTTCCCAAGAGCCAAATGCGAGACTTGCTGTCCCTGTTTCACTCCCAAGGTATAGTTTGGGCCGAAGACCCTCGTGATCTTGACGTTACCTCCATTTCCCAGGGTTTTGTCGTTCATGCATTTGAATTCAATTAATAGACCTCCGCCCAAAATCGTGTCACGCCAGTGCTGCGACGGTTGTTTCTCTGATACTCTGATACCTCTAAGGGTCATGTGGTCTAGTTGGGTTCTCTAGCTTTCCGATGTGTGGGCAACTGTGATGCTATGTCGAGGTTATCTATAACAGAAGTATAACATAGTCTATGATTAGCTCATCTTCGGACTATTCATTCAGCTTTCGCGCCTAATTACTCTCTCGAGTGCTTTTCTCTCGTTCTCAAAAGTCAGAGGCCACGGCATATTTGAATACTGGAGTGGCGAGGGTGCTTGGGAGGAACCTGGTCCCAGCAAATCAACGATCTAATTGGAGCCCTTCCGCGCTGGCACAAGCGTTCCCGTCCCCGGCGTATGTGTAGGACATATTCTTCAGCCCAATGGCTCCATATGTCATTTCCGTCCCTCACGTTCAGACCGAATGAAGATAAGCCGAGAACAACTTGGGTTATTATACGCTCCCCAGTGAGACTTCAGCACGTTGTCTTTTCAAGACGAGACATCTTGTGAATTTGGGCAGATCCCATTCCTCTTGGACCGAGATACTCTATCCTCGATAATTTGTTGGCCTCCTTTACATTGTTGTGGGCAGCAATGCCATTGTTCGCAGCGCAGATAGCCACCGAATCCTACGGCACAGTGTCGCCCAGGGAGCGGATGAATCGCGGCACCTCTTTGTAATGTAGATGCTGGTAAATGAAACAAATCTTCTCCGGCATTCCTTCTGCTCGACACCGTAAAGGGGATCTATAATAGGACGGAAGGATGCCACCAGCGAACCGAGGTTGGAAGATTCCTCATCTAACGTGACCGCAGCTCAGTGTGAAAGAACGGGAAGACGAGGGGAGCCATCGTCCAGGGGGAAAGGCGGGTCTTTTGATTAACTAATCGATTGTAGCGCACATAGGGCATCCGCGGTTCAGTGATCCTCATCAGGCTATCTCTGTTGATTTCGACAAAGTACGCAGTACGCGCATTCGATGAGGTCGTCGAGAGCATCAAGGATGATGCGTGATGCGTGCTGATTCGGATTCACCTTCAGGGCTGGTGTGATTATCAATCCCTGCACCTGAGGTGGATAGTGTCTTCATTCTGGGAGTCCAGGATAACCTCCTTAAATTCGTCGCCAGATTGAGTGAGTGGGAACACTATTCAAGGGGATCTCAAATAGAAGCAGTGTCGATGATGGTAGTAGGACGCAAGAGAAAAACTCAGTAAAATCGACTAGCAGGTCCCAAAGGTCCCAAACAGCCGCGCCGGTGATTAGGCTCGGGGATTGGCTGTCGCCGCTACCCGTACATTTTCGCTGATCAGCTCGTTGTCTTGCATCACTTCGCCAGATGGGTTGCGGTGCTTCGGGCGCACGTGCCAGTGCCACACTCATTCTCACGGGGCTGTGGTCGCATTGTCTGTCGGTGGTCACGATATGGAATCTAGATCGCCAGTCGCACCACTAGTATGGCCTCTAAATTACCTGCAGCAAGCCCTGGCTATGTTCTCTCGCTTGATCTTCAAGGCAGAACGCTGCCTCGGACAATCTGGTGAGACGTATTCCTCTGCTTGATACGTACTTAAGGCCAGATGACATGCATATGTCTCTCGGATCGTGCGACTCGTGATGACGCTGTAGTCCTCATGCTTGATGCAGCATGATAGAGAGTGGAGCGATCGATGTCCTGCAGAGTATTCCTTTCTGTCGTAAATCTGGGCTTGGACGGACGAAGGCCGACGTACTACATCCGAGCCAATTCGAGCCAATTACGGAAACGTTATCTGGCTCCCTCGAATCATTCTGCAGAGGTTCACCCCCATCGCGCCGATAAATCCTTCACCGCTTCTACATTCGGACGCTCACTCCACCAACAAGAACCGTGTTACACCGACCACAATGAGCTTTATCGTGAATGTTTTCCACTCTGCTACTCATCTTCTGGACGCTGTCCCGGAGCTTGTTCACAATCCCATACAAGCAAACACAATACTGCCCTATGCCCTCAAGCGAAAGGCGCAGGAAGAGAGCAATCTAGCTTCATCCGCATACTCCTCTTTTCCCCGTGGTGTTCCTCCTCTTTGGGTAGCATTATGGACAGAGCGTCACGGAACCCAACGTCCAATGCTCGATTTTGTCGTGGCCATCACGAACTCCAATATCTCCACCCTCCCGCTGTTCATATTTACACCCCACCAAGCCGCTCTCACGACTCCTGACTTCCTCTTTCCCCGAATAGTAAGACTTATCGATGTCCTCACAACAGTGATCCACGTCTCTCGGGTTTTCGCCGTGTTTGCACCTGTCGAGGTGACGCGGCTGTTCGCGAACTTGTGGAGCTGGAAAACAGGGATAGCTGGCGTAGAAACGCCATATTATCGGGCGGTCCTCGCTACGGTCACATTGGACTCGTTGGTGTCCTCCTTGGCAGACCCCCAATCCTTCCGCCGCAACCGACCCGCGCGGATGGCGGATCTCGAGGAAGTTGTACCCCAATTTAAAGCGTTCGCCGACCACAGCGTGATTTACTCCATGACGCTCGATCAAGCCCGCGAGGAGGCGTGTGAACATACCCGAGAGCGCAAGTTGTGGCTGTGCGAGGTTGAGCCTGAGGGAGATGGTGTGCGGACGATCGTGTCGATAGTGGCCGCGACGCGCAACTCGGGGACCCATGCCTTTATCACCAAGGTGTTTACGCCACGCCGGTTCAGGCAACGGGGATATGCGAAGCATCTCGTTGCATGGGTGTCCAAGACTCTCCTAGTTCAACTAGGATATACGGCGGTGTCGCTTTACGTGGACGAGGAAAATGTGGGAGCTGCCCATACGTACACCGAGGTCGGATATAGGGGCATCAGGACACATGGCATCGAGGCTCCTGCAGAAGAGTGGGAGCAAATTGGATTCGACCCAAGGATGTGTGACCCAGGGCTAGGGCCACCTATCCTCTGACTGTATTCTCTTCAAGGGCCCGAAATAACCCCCCTGATTTTTCAGGAGCCTGGCATAGCGCCAAAATAGCGTCGGAGAGCCCGCCCTAGATAGTGTTTGGGAGTCTGTTTGGTGTATAGTCAGAGGATTATCCAGTTCGGTTCCAGTACTTAATTCCATCTCGCCAGGCTTCCACCCCCGCAATTCGGCTCGTTTATGTAGTGTTTACAGATAAATCAATTTTGCTATCCATTAAAGACACACCTCATCTATCACTCCACAGCCTGCAAGCCACAATCTTGACTCTATGTCTAGGCCCAACGTTCCTCCGGCAACGCATAGATACTGATTATCAGCGGCTGGGTGTAACAAGTACGCGGGACTAGAGGAGTACAACTAAGGTATACAAAGTCCATGTATCAAGAAACACTGGGCGAAGGTCAAAAACGCACACTAAAGCATAAATTAAAACCAACCACAATTCGCATTCCTCCTGCTGCAAGGCTGGTCGCCCACGGCTCCGCACATCTTGAAAGACACGTATGTAGTCCAAAGCAAAGATGGATGTCCTTCATAAAATGGACAAAAAGCGCAAGCAACACACCGCGCACTGAGTCCGCAGCTATATCAAAAGATACGCTTCACTGCCCTCCAATAGAACACGCAGTTTTTGCATGCATGGGACTGTGCAAATATTATCAATAAACAAACTGCTCCCCGCGGGGAGCGTTCCAACTGAACAAACAAAGAAACACGTACGCCAGATGGGGTACAGGGTTGTCAGATCATAGAGGGTGTCGAGGAGAGCTTCAAGCCCTTGCTCCGCCACGAAATAATCGTACGCTTCTTCAGGTGAAGATCGAGCCTTGACTCGACGCATTTCACGTACGAACACTTCACAGCCCCCGTAAATATGCGGCTGGTGCAACGGCATTAGCACGCTCGGCAAGACTTGTTAAAGATCCCAGTGGTTGGGCGCACGCACCATAACTGTTGGAGATGCATGAATAGGTGCAACAGCACCCGGGCACGCATACGACGTGCCAACTGTGCCATGGCAAGGGCTGCTTCCAATACTTTTTGGTATGCTTCCGGTTCATCGTCGATTACACAATTCAAGAGCAAGATCGCAGAGATATAGAATCCATAATGTATGGGGACCAGGTTCGGGTTGATAGGACTGACTGCTTCGAATGGCTGAAGTCCAAGGACGTCATCCACAGGTGGCAAAGCATGCTGCAACTTGGACAGTGCAGTAGCGAGAGTATCGAACTTGAGTTTGGCGCTTCATCCCACAGATTTCTCGAGTGCCCTGCATGTGTTGGTTCACGCCATGATCTTCAGAAGTGTTAGAATGGTTGGTTGCTCACCAGGGATGGTATGAGAAAAGTAAGTGATCGCGGAAAACAATGCAGTGACTTTAACTTTAAACAACACATCCGAATCATTCATTCCCCAAGCCTATATGACACCTATAAATGAAACAGGTTGAGGCACCCTTGGCGGTTGTACGTGCCTTGGTCATTCGAAGGGGAAACAGTGTATCGAAAGAAGTGGCACACTACCCATCCCAGAGCGGTTAGAATGCAACTTCCGCGATTCGACAAGAAATGAAAATGCACCTTTTCTGGGACCGAAGTAGGCAGACTACCTCCAGCTGAGATCAAGGCGTCAGTATGATACATCGCGTACCATAGAGTCATTGGATCATCGGCTTGAATTTCTTCCTCTGGGGGAAGGTGGATAGAATCGAGGGCGCTATCCGCCCGCTTGCGATGGAGGCCGCACCCAATGGCAAATCTAGAAAGCGAGCATTGGAAACTGTAGCGCTCTCATCCCACAATTGCTAACATACCGCACCGCAGCGGACATTGTATTATATGCCTCAAGGATTCGGCTAGTC